TTCTACCAAGAGATCTGCAGGATGCTGGTGGAGAATGAGAACATGGTGAGCGGAATAAGAATTTTTAAAAGTTTTCCGTAACTATGAATCTCTGCTGTCAATATTCATAAACAAAATTACAAATTTGCTTGAATGAGAACGGTGCGTGTTTTGTTTGATCATATCAAAATTGAATATCATGAACTTGTAGTTTGTAATCTTCTCCTTATGAAGCAAGAAGTTTTAGATGATATCAGTCATTCGCAACAATGCATTTAAGATAATATCTGTTTTCACTTGGTACAATTTCCATAACTAGATTTCACTTGGTAAAATGTCCAGAACAACCTTGGCTAGACTACAAAATAATTTAAGTTTTCTAGCCTCTCAAGGAACCTAAGTTATGCAAAGCTAAGTGTGTGTGTATGTGTGTGTGTGTGTATGCGTGTGTGAATGTGTGTGTGTGTGCGTGCGCGCGCGTGGGTGTGTATGAGTTTGCATGTTTGTGTGTGCATTTGCATACATGTGTGTGTACATGTGTGTGTGTACATGTGTGTGTGTACATGCGTATGTGGGTGTGTTGGTGTATATGTATGTGCACGTGTGTATTCTCATGAAGCTGATGGAAGCATTCCCGGACATCATCACCTATGAACAGCGGCAGTTGAAGGAGCAAGAACGTCTTCGTTGCCAGGCCGACAGTGAGTACATTGTGCATTTCCGCTATCAGGAAGCCTGTACTATAAGCTGTGTGCCCTCCAAATCCAGACAATATCCATCTCCATTCTTTTTTTAACCAATTTAGCTCCAAAATCTGATCTTAAACCGGCCTGAAGACTATAATTGTTTGCTATGCTCCACATTTAGCTTGAAAACTACATAAAGACTATTAGCATTAAAAGCATACGGTACTAATTGGAAAAGCAGTCAATGCGTAAAATACGCAGCAAACCTTCAATTTCAGGAGCTTTGACCATTTCCCATTGTCAAAATCTGAATGTGATGATAGTTTTCCGTATTGATTTGTTTGTTTGTTAGAAACAATGGAGAATACTTGCACCCATGTTTATACACAGTCTACAGTCTATTGTGATAATAGAGAGGTTCCGCACTACGTAAAGTTGAGCAACTTTACGTTAGTGGGTGGGAAAAACCCGTGAATTCGCGAGTTTGCACTCCACTTACGGAAAGTTGTCTACGGAGAGTACGTAGATAGGGCTCTGATAACGTAGCTGGTCCGTAAGTGGATTGGGATACAAATTTATGACTCTCTACCCATGTCGATCTGGTCGTACACTGCCGCGTTCGGAGTTGCCCAGGGCAGCTACGTGATTTGAAAACTCTGTATGGCGGAACCCAGATGCGCATGCAGTTTACGTAAGACTTTCCGTAGATCGACTACGTTTTTACTAACGTAATTACGTTATGCGGAACCTCTCTAATATCAGCGTTCCTGTTCTATAGAAAATATACTTGTAAAAAAGACCAAGGAACTACAAGTTTGGACTCGGATGAAGAGCCAAGGATAAATTTATAGCAAAGAAGAATGGACCAATCGACTCAGTATCGTGCAATATTATGGCATGAGCTGATTGTTTAGTAACTGCCAGTGGTGTTAGTGGAGATTATGGCATAACTTGTACTACTGTACTAGTTGATTGGTCTGTTGATTGTTTTCTTTACTATGAACTACAAGTTACGCCATAATGTCCACTAACACCACTAGTTACTAAACAATCAGCTCATGCAAAAACAATTTAAAGACACTGACCGACTGTACTGACGTTCTACAACTAACGGGCTAACATTGTTTACCAACTGGTGGTGTTAGTGGACATTATCGCGCAACATGTAGTTCCTTGGTCCTCTTTATTTTCTTTAAATTAATCCTTGGCTCTCCATCCGAGTCCGTTCCTGTTCTAGTCTTTGTTTTCCACACTTCCAGTGCTTGTCTTGCACACAAACTCTTTGTACTTTATTATTATCATTATTAGTTCTCACGGTGGCCGTTGGCCAGTAAGAGAGATGCAATTAATAATGGTGATTATATGAAGCTATGGGGTAACATTAGTTGAAAATATGGTCATACTGATAGTTGAAGAGTTGATCGCTAGGGAGTGTATAGTGTATGTGTTATGTTTGTCTATATGTCCTCTAACAGATGTTCCATTGGCGGATCATTGGTTCTCGACTGCACCCAAAATGTCATTTCTGGGACAGAATCCCTCGTGAGTATAACATTTATCTCAAGTTGGTTTCATTTCTCATATGGATGAATGGATGTTAGTGGAAATTCCTCTTAAGAACTCCAGTGTTCTCTGCAGTACCTTTGAAGTGTACATTGTATTCTGCAATCACGTCTGTTACTATGGTTATTAACCAGACATTGGAAAGTATGTATTTATGACAATGGTTTTCATCTCTACTTCTGTATGTGTGTGTGTGTGTGTGTGTGTGTGTGTGTGTGTGTGTGTGTGTGTGCGTGTGTGTGTGTGTGTGTGTGTGTGTGTGTGCCTCTGTGTGTGTGTATGGGTGTGTGTGTGTGTGTTTATGTTTGTGTGTGTATGTGTGTGAGTTTGTATTTGCCTGTGTGTGCCTGTGTGTGTGTGTGTGTGTTTGTGTGTGTTTGTATTTGCCTGTGTATGTCTGTGTGTGTGTGCGTGCGCGTTGGTTTGAGCGAGCCTGCGCATGTGAATGTGTGTGTGTATGATGTTATCGCTATGCGGGTATGCGTGTTTCTGTGTCTATGTATTTGATGTGTTGTTTTGATTTACAGCATGGGAATGCTACGATCTCACCTCCATGCTATGCACGTTACGGATAAGCTGATCGTGGACTCTGATCACTACACTCTGGTCCAGGGTGAGTCCATTTTACTTCACAATCTCTGCTACTTCATATTCATGATGATCACTTGCCTAGACAGGACTTCATGTTATTTACTAGCGTTCTCTTGATCTCTCTCCTTGTTTGAACAGAAGCCGAAGCAGCAGCAGCAGCAGCAGCAGCAGCAGCAGTCTCAGCAGCAAGTCAACCAGCAGCAGGAGTAACAGCAGGAGTTGCATCAGCAACAGCAGCACCAGGAGTAGCAGCATCAGCAGCAGCATCAGTAGCAGCAGCACCACCACCACCAGGAGTAGCAGCATCAGCAGCAGCAGCAGCAGCAGCAGCAGCAGCAGCAGCACCACCACCACCACCAGGAGTAGCAGCGGCAGCAGCAGCAGCAGCAGCATCAGCAGCAGCAGCAGCAGCACCACCACCAGGAGTAGCAGCAGTAGCAGAAGTAGCAGCAGGACTAGCAGCAGCAAGTCAAGCAGCAGCAGCGCCAGGAGTAGCAGCATCATCAGCAGCAACAGAAGCATCAGAGAGCACAGGTATGTGAAGAACCACAATTCCCAGCATAACGACTATCCCACCCAAACACTTCACCTTCGCGTACACCTCCACTTTTTATAAAACCACCTCCACTTTTTACAAAACCACCTCCACTTTCTACAAAACCACCTCCACTTTTTACAAAACCACCTCCACTTTTTACAAAACCACCTCCACTTTTTACAAAACCACCTCCACTTTTTATAAAACGACCTCCACTTTTTACAAAACCACCTCCACTTTTACAAAACCACCTCCACTTTTCCCCATCACCACCACTTTGCCACACTATCTCTATGCCCTGTTCTAACTCCAACTCTGTAGTACCCGTCCAGCTCCGCATTGTCCGACCAAGTCTAGCTCTGCTCTACCCTACACTTTGTGCAGAAACCATAGGGAAATACAATGAGACATTTCGAAATATAATGTTGGAAACTCATCCTCGGATTCACCTGTTGTTTCTGTTAGAATAGTGATATTGTATACAGGGTTGATGTGTGTGTGTGTGTTTCATGACTGCGTGTGTTTCATGACGTAACCTCTGTGTGTGGTTCATGACGTAACCTCTGCGTGTGGTTCATGACGTAACCTCTGCGTGTGTTTCATGACGTAACCTCTGCGTGTGTTGCATGACGTAACCTCTGCGTGTTTCATGTCCTGTAATATGCATATTACAATACAGACTTCTGTATGAAATGTATGGACTGCTGGGACTTTCAAGTAACTTTGGGAACCATTTGCAAATCCGTTTCTCGAATGTTTTTTATGTGCGTGCTCCACTA